TGAGGTGGGATATATGTTATTCTTTTAGTTGGTCAAACTGAAGCTTGGAGAAGTCTGGCAGTTCATTCAGCATCACACAGCTAATGAATGTAGGTCATCTGGCTCTAAATCCCAGGCCTATTCTATACTCTTCATCTGCTTAAGTATTTGTAGGGTTTCTTCATGAATTTATTTTTCCATCTCTTGTGCTCACTTAAGATACGACCTTGCTGTTTGCCTTGAGTCCCTCTTTTACTCCCTTGAGCAGCTTCGTGGTATGAGTGGGACTCAGAGTAGGGGATTGGTTCTCACTGATTGTAAGATTAGGGTTTGCCAGATCTGCTTTCTCTCATCAAGGAGCTTGTAATCAGCTGACTGAAAAAATGCATATGTATTACAGTGGTGTTTTACCACCTTTTTTGACCTCTACGGTAAGAAACTACACGCACATTATTAAAGTTTAATGAAGCAATACCTACCTTAGTATGTGTGACAGTCTTTGATGTTTCCTGTTTCATTTTTTAAAAATTCTGATTGTGACCCACTAAATTGATTTTGTCACTCAATAAGATGGATTGAAATCCAGTTTGAAAAGCATGGTTATGGGTTACATATATGTAAAGTCAAATTTTAGCTGAAGCTCAATATCACAAATGTTTATTGAGTGCTAAGGATGTGCTAAGTATATTGCTAGGTGCAGTGAATGATATAAAATAAAGTATGTATAGCTATATGATGCTCATAATCTAGTGATAGAAAGTAGAGAATAAACTCAAATAATTAATAAAAGGAAAAATATGAGCCAAAAAGCCCCTACAAAGATTCAGGAGCAGTAGAAGTCACATCCTGTGAGAATCAGGAAAGGATTTAAGGAGCAGGTAGCATTTGAGTTAGGTCTTGATAAGTGGATACTAGAACTGTGAGTCGAGGTGACAGACCTCAGGGAAAGAGGATACAGGGAATAATGGCCTTTGGGAATCACAGTCAAGAAGGAAATGATGCTATGGCTATGAAGGGATGTGACCATAGCCTTGGAGTCCTCCCTGAGGATACACTAGTGAACATGACAAAGTCCTGACTCTCAGGAAGAAATCAAATAGGAAAAGCAACTCAGTGGGGTAGTGCTGTGGAAAAGGGAAGAATACAGCATAGTGCATCATAGGACTACAGAGAAGACAAGCCTTACTCAGACACTGGGCTCATGGAAGGCTTTTGGAGAAAGAAGCATTTAAAGTGAGACCTCAGTGGTGAGTAGGAGTTAGCCAGAAGAAGGATGCATAAGCCAAGAATGTTCCCACAGAAGCACAGCATGTGAAAAGATGGGGAGGCACAAAAGAACACTGGTACATTTGGGGAACAAAAAATTAGAGGGCGCATCCTTATGAGGTCGGTATCATACCCGACCTCTTCCGATAAAGAAACGAAACACCAAGATTTAATAACACGCATGGTTTCCTAGCTGGCTAGACCTGGAATCGGGATCAACTTTACTCTTAAGAGTTTGTTCTTTCCATTATTCCAACCTGTCCCACAAATGTGTCTGATGCTGGGTGGGCCCTGGTACTATTACACTGAAGTTGCAGAGATTAGATAGAGTTAGCAGACTAAGGACTGAACCTAAGGAATGCCTACATTTAAGGAATAGGAGGAAAGAGGAGAAATAGAGGAATTGAAGAAAGTCGAGGAACATCAATCCAAATAGGAGAACTAGGGGCACCTGGCTGGTGCATTCAGTTAAGCGTCTGACTCTTGGTTTTGCCTCAGGTTGTGATCTTGGGGTTAGGAGACCCAACCCTCTGTCAGGCTCTGCGCAGAGTCTGCTTGAGGTTCACTCTCCCTCTCTCTCTGCCTCTCCTGCGCATGCTCTTTTCTTTGCTCTCTAAAATAAATAAGTCTTAAAAAAATAAATAAAATAAATAAGTCTTTAAACAAAACAAAACAAGAGAACTACCCAGCGAACAGAGTATGATGGAATCCAAAGAAAGAGCTGGAAGAGCAGTGGTACATTTCGAATGTGACAAGAGCTGAAGAATTTCTGACCATAGATGGCCAATAATGATATCACTTAGCTAACAAGAAAGTAATTTCCACAAAGGGTGGAAAAATAAATGAGTGTTGAGGAAGTAGAGTGAGTGCAGATCACTTTTTCAGAAACACTGATTTTGGGTTACGGGAAGAATTAAGAAAGGAAGTCAACTTAGATGGAGGCAGCAAATTTATTAGGAAGTGATCTTAAGATCACCACTAAGGGAAGAGAAGGGAGCAAATCTTCACAGAAGGAGAAGTTGGGCTGTGATATAGGACAAAGGCTTAACCAACCTTCAGAGCTGTCCCTGTTTAGGGATGAGAAGGTTGAATCATTATACTCTCACATAAATCAGTCATTCAGTGTGGGCTGCCTGAGAAAGGGGCATGACAGGACAGCTGAGGACCATCTGCCAGCAGCATTCCCACTTCAGACAGCTGGGGTCCTAAGTCCTTCATTCTCAAAGGGAGTCCTGCCTGTGCATTCCAGTGTTTATCACAGGAATAGCATTACCAGGCTAGCAGAAGTCAAGGGAGGAATATTTTTAGGATAGGTAAGACCCAACTTTGGAAATAGATACACACATAGAAACAGATGTATCCTAATTATTATTCTGTAATTCCCTGTCAGGCAACATGTCAGCTGTAACATATTAAAAAATGGGCTTATACATTTATGAAACACCTCCCATGGAGCTGGCCTTTGTTAGCAGCAGGTGTACAAAGATAAGATGATCACCCCTGCGGAGAAGCTTACAATTTAGTGGGAGAAGAATGCACAAAAGCAATAACCCTGTAAGGGGCTGTGCTTATCTTTTTTGTGGTTGTATCTGTACTACCCCATGTAGGCCTGGCATATAGTAGGCTGTCAGATATATACAAAATGAGCCAATGATAGAGTAGAATAAGAGGTCTTTGGGTAGAAGACAAAATGTAGGGCTAATGCTGCCTGGAGGAGTCAGGGGAGTATATTTTAAGGGAAGCTTAATATTAGTGATGATGATGATGATAATATTATTATTAGTAGTAATAATAATAAAAAGAAGGGGAGGGGTGAGAGGGGTTAAAATCCAGGCAGCTGTTTCAGAGAAAACAAAAGCATCAAAAAGAATACTTGGAGAGCGAGTAGAAGGTAGGCATGGAAAGAAAAGTCTTCTCTTTCAATAAAGGGCACACATGAGGCAAATACATATTAACATCTATACAGGAATGAGTTGCCTAGGGTGGTAATGTGGAATGTTCAGGGAACTTACAATAGGATATTATGAAAGATCATTTTCAAACTAGATTTGAATGAAAGGGAATTGTTTTAGGTGTACACAATAGAGGCAATACGGTATGGTAGTTGAGTGCTGGTTCTTGAAGAACAGATTTGTGCTCAAAGCCTGGTTCTTCTAACTAGATGTATGTACTTAGGCAAGAAACCTCCCTAAGACTTAGGTTCCTAAACTGCAAAATACAGTTCCTGCCTTACAAATCTATTGTGAGGATAATTCACATTCATGACATTAAATATGGTGTTTGATATAGATACGTAGTAAGAATTTAATTAATGGCATAGGAATTGCAGACCCGCAATGAGTAGAGCATATATATTGGCAGAAATTGCTGAGTAAAGGAAACAGGAGCAATGGTAGAGTCTCATTGTAAAATCCATTCCTATTTTTGGAATCCCTAAACAAAAATAGGGCTTTTTCCTCCAACATTTTAGCCCGTGGATGATTTCATATGTACTTCTACTTTCTTTTGAAGGGGGTTAAATTGGTGGCCTACCCCATCTAAGGCAGCTTTATATTAGGGAACTCGTCTGAGGCAGAACACGGACAGAGAGCAGGTCAAGTTGTCATGATATGACTTTAAGTGCTTGTGTGCATCCTGGAGCAAAGAGATCTTCATCTGGGTCCAGGGCAGGAGATCCATAGATTCTTCTACTGACCCTATGGCTGTTCTGAGGAGGAAGCAGAACCACTTGCTAGAAGCTTACTTTGACTATATAAATCCATTACTCTTTTCTTTCTTTTCCATTCTAAGATATTTCTTTCTATCACACTTATTGCATATGTTTCTCATGGTATTAAGCAGATTTTCTTTAAAACTATCAGGAAATTTTCTGAAGGCAGCAACTTCTTCCTCCCAGTATCCCACCTCATTCTCCTCACCCATCCCCTTCTCTCTCCTTTCCACCTGTGCCTTCAGCTGGTCCACTAAACTATTTGCCAGAGGCATCATTTCCTCATTCTTTCAGTTCCCCTCCTCCCAGATTGAGAAATTCTGGACTTGCTCTGGGTTTGTTTTTTCTACAGTCTCGGGGTTTTTTTGGTTTTTGTTTTTTCTTTTTCTTTTCCATCAGGCACCCCAGTCCTGGGGTTTGCATGGCTTTGTGGTCGGCCTAAGGATCACTGATTAACCAGGCTGATGCCAGCAGGTCCCTCAGAGCCCAAGGAATAGGCTGGGCGGTATTTTTACCCACACACTGAGACTCCGCATAATTGCATCAGAGCTGCACACACCTATGGAAAATACTGGTAGCCTGTCAGGCTTGGGGTTAATTGGTTTCAGCTCACACCTTAGGGGAGCAGAGTCCTTGCACACATGCTGGCCTGGTACCAGTGCCCCAACTAGCTTCACACTAAGGGGAGTGGCATCCTGAAGGAAGGCAATTCCTTTTACCCCACCCCTTTCATCCACTGGTACTCACAGGTTGGCCTCCAGCTCCTGCCGAACCGATCAAAGATGAAATCTTAGAATAAAAGTTTTCAAACTCAATTAGTTGTTGATTAATATCCAGGAGTGGCTGATATATGATGCTTCCTTTTTCATGGCAGGTCAAAGATGAAATGTGATCAGGCTTTGAAGGGTGTGGCTTGCCTCTTGAAACTCCCCGCGGTGTTTTTACCAATGTGCTATTGCTCAGGGCAGCCAAAGTGCCCTTATCTAACCCAGGGAGGCGCGCTTGTCTGCATATATAGAGGCAGGAGCCACACTGGGAGAAGTCTAATCCAGTCTGCACAATGAAGAAGCAACCTAAGATGGAGGAAGCTCCACACTGTGAGCTCAGTAAGTAGCCAGCAAGTATGCAAAAGCCCAAGGAGGTTGCTCAGCTGAGCAGAGCTGGCAGAGTGACAAGAATGGCTCTAGCCATTTTATTTTCTAGTTGCAGCGGAGGTTCCCAAAGGAGGGGTTCTGGTCTGGAGGGACTTCATCAAGTCTTGCTGAAACTACCCAGATATTTTGTTGAGAGATTCTCTGAACTAATTTGTGCATTTTCTTTTTCTCTCCAGGAGAAATTCTGTATGGAAACCAGCCTGTATCAGATAACTGATGATGCTCGGACCACTTTTTTTGTCCCTGAGTTTTTTACTTTGTACTTGATTTTGATTTTTCTTTTTGCAGTTCACTCTCCTATCATCCTCTCTTGGACTCTTTTTTACTAATAAAATTTTCTCCTACCAGTTTTTACATGAAGAAAGAAGTTGGAAGGGGTGATGCTTTTCCTTTCTAGGTCTACAATTTGGTTAAATAAGCTTGGTTATCTTTAATGCAAGCTGTAGGGAGGTGTCAAAAATGTTTCTGGTTGGTCTAAAGGACACTGTTTAAAGTGAGGGTGGCTTGTCAGACCATTTTTCTTCCCTCTAAAGCACTACTAGTCTGGCCATTATCTTCAGGGAAAGACTGGCACGTGAGATTGAGGCTGGGGCTGGAGTGGGACTGCTTTTAGGTAGACAGAGATAAAGCCTGGGGGGCGGGGGGAAGCGAGATAGACAGGATGGGAATAGGGCACCTGATGCGCTGTAACTGGCGGCACTAGCTGGTGTTTCGCGGTTCTCCCAGGTGTGGATTGCTTTTGGTGAGGCCGAAGATGCTACGATGTGGCTCCGGGGACGACAGGAAATGGTCCTGGGGGGTTGGCTAAACTTTAGGTGGCGGTGACGTATCTCGTAGGGCAAAGTCTACAGAAAAAAGGGGGCTCGACCGCCAGTATCTAATGTGAGGCAGCGGCTAACTACGGTGGGAAATTTACGTGTCCCGGGACCGCCCGCGCCATCGGAAGCTCCAAATCCGCACTCAGCGATTCTGCCGCGCGCAGGCAATGGCCCCGCTGGAGGCACCTCCCGCCGGGGCCCCGTGGCCCCGCCTCCAGTCTGACCCGGGGGCGGGCGGAGCCTCGGGACGCCGTCCACCCGCCACGCGCGCCTGCAGCCGCGGGGAATACGAGGAATCCAGCCAATAGGAATGTGCAACTCGGTCCTGTCGGCCAATCGCGGGGCGTGTAGGGGGTTGGCCGTCTTGGCGCTTGCTCCCGGGATATGGAGCGGCCAGCGCGAGGGCGTCCTGTCAGGTGGTTGCGGAGCCGGTAAGGCGACGGGCAGGCGGGGTCAGGGGTTACGCGGCCGCACCGCTTTCCCCAGGCGGGCCCGGAGGGCGCAGGGCGGCCGGACGGTGGGAGCAGGGAGCAGGCGCCGGGGCCAGTATGGGGCGCGCGGAGCGCCGTGCGGACAGCGGGGGGCGGTGCGGGTCGGGAGGGCCTGAGGCGCGGGGGGCCAGACGGAGCAGCATTCTTCCAAGAAAGATGGAGAGCGGGGGGCGGGAAGCGGACGTCCGAGGTTGTGGGGGCCTCGTCCCTTCCCCGCCGAGGCCTAAGAGAAATGGCCGAACCCCCGGCTGGACCTGCCGCCGCGCGAGAATCCGTGACCCAGGGTGCGCTAACCCGCTTCAGGCCGCAGAGGAGGCGACGGGCACGGGGCAAGGTCCTGGCAGCTTCCTTATCTGCAGAGCCCTGGGCCCGCGCCCGCTCCCGGGGCCTCCCGCCGCTCCTCTCCAACAACCAAGTTCACTGTCGCGCAGCTGACACCGTGGAGCGCTTTCGAGTGCAGGGCCTGGGGAGGCCGCTGAGTGCTCGTGTGTAGATTGGTTGTAGGGCTGTTGTGCGCCTGCCAGGCTCCAGGTACTACTCCAGGGGGCATTGTGGCACACGGTGTGTAAGTGGGCTGGACGCTCTCCGACTGGTCGGTTTCCTAGATCCCTGCTTTTAAAGCTGTCGCTTGTATTTTGATAGTCCGTCTTTGGATTCTTTTCCACTTTTGATATCCCCCAATGACCCACCTCATGGATCCAACGACTTCATTAGGGGAGAAGTTGAGAAACCTGTGCGTAATCATATTGTCTGTTGCCTTCAGAGGAGTGCTGTGAAGTTAAAGGAACGTGGTGGCATATCTCTAAAGTGGAAGACAAAGGGCAAAATTCTGTGGAAGGAGAGGCAAGGGCAGATAGGCTTGCAGAAACTTTTGCTTGGCCATAATTTTAGTGGGACGCTGTTTATCTTGATCCTGTGAAACCGAAGGCCCACCAGTTTGCACCACTTCTTGGCTGTGTAACCCTTTGAGCAAGCTGCTTATTAGCCTCTTGATTCTTTTGTTTCCCATTACTTAAAATGGGGATTGATAATATCAGTCTCACAGGGTTGTTGGTGAGTGTAAAGTAAAAATACACATAAGGTGCTTAGAACAGTTCTTGGAATGTAGGAGTTTTTATTATCTGTGCCTGCCTTCCCCTAAAGATTCCAAACTAAAGAATTCTGACATTACTACTTACTTAATCTTTGCTCAGAATCCTGAGCCTATCCTGAAAGAACCCTTAGGCCCTTGTTTTCCATCCACGGCAGTAATGCTGACCTGAAGGTATAGTATAATTCCATATGATTAGAGGCTTTTTACTGGGCGTTTATTTTTATTTTTATTTTTTTAATTTTTTATAAACATATAATATATTTTTATCCCCAGGGGTACAGGTCTGTGAATCGCCAGGTTTACACACTTCACAGCACTCACCATAGCACATACCCTCCCCAATGTCCATAATCCCACCCCCCCAACCCCCCTCCCCCCATTAACCCTCAGTTTGTTTTGTGAGATTAAGAGTCACTTATGGTTTGTCTCCCTCCCAATCCCATCTTGTTTCATTTACTCTTCTCCTACCCCCTTAACCCACCATGTTGCATCTCCTCTCCCTCATATCAGGGAGATCATATGATAGTAGTCTTTCTCCGATTGACTTATTTCGCTAAGCATGATACCCTCTAGTTCCATCCACGTCGTCGCAAATGGCAAGATTTCATTTCTTTTGATGGCTGCATAGTATTCCATTGTGTATATATACCACATCTTCTTTATCCATTCGTCTGTTGATGGACATCTAGGTTCTTTCCATAGTTTGGCTATTGTAGACATTGCTGCTATAAACATTCGGGTGCATGTGCCCCTTCGGATCACTACGTTTGTATCTTTAGGGTAAATACCCAGCAGTGCAATTGCTGGGTCATAGGGTAGTTCTATTTTCAACATTTTGAGGAACCTCCATGCTGTTTTCCAGAGTGGTTGCACCAGCTTGCATTCCCACCAACAGTGTAGGAGGGTTCCCCTTTCTCCACATCCTCGCCAGCATCTGTCATTTCCTGACTTGTTAATTTTAGCCATTCTGACTGGTGTGAGGTGATATCTCATTGTGGTTTTGATTTGTATTTCCCTGATGCCGAGTGATGTGGAGCACTTTTTCATGTGTCTGTTGGCCATCTGGATGTCTTCTTTGCAGAAATGTCTGTTCATGTCCTCTGCCCATTTCTTGATTGGATTTTTTGTTCTTTGGGTGTTGAGTTTGCTAAGTTCTTTATAGATTTTGGACACTAGCCCTTTATCTGATACGTCATTTGCAAATATCTTCTCCCATTCTGTCAGTTGTCTTTTGGTTTTGTTAACTGTTTCCTTTGCTGTGCAAAAGCTTTTGATCTTGATAAAATCCCAATAGTTCATTTTTGCCCTTGCTTCCCTTGCCTTTGGCGATGTTCCTAGGAAGATGTTGCTGTGGCTGAGGTCGAAGAGGTTGCTGCCTGTGTTCTCCTCAAGGATTTTGATGGATTCCTTTCTCACATTGAGGTCCTTCATCCATTTTGAGTCTATTTTCGTGTGTGGTGTAAGGAAATGATCCAATTTCATTTTTCTGCATGTGGCTGTCCAATTTTCCCAACACCATTTGTTGAAGAGACTGTCTTTTTTCCATTTGATATTCTTTCCTGCTTTGTCGAAGATGAGTTGACCATAGAGTTGAGGGTCTATTTCTGGGCTCTCTATTCTGTTCCATTGATCTATGTGTCTGTTTTTGTGCCAGTACCATGCTGTCTTGATGATGACAGCTTTGTAATAGAGCTTGAAGTCCGGAATTGTGATGCCACCAACTTTGGCTTTCTTTTTCAATATTGCTTTGGCTATTCGAGGTCTTTTCTGGTTCCATATAAATTTTAGGATTATTTGTTCCATTTTTTTGAAAAAAATGGATGGTACTTTGATAGGAATTGCATTAAATGTGTAGATTGCTTTAGGTAGCATAGACATTTTCACAATATTTATTCTTCCAATCCAGGAGCATGGAACATTTTTCCATTTCTTTGTGTCTTCCTCAATTTCTTTCATGAGTACTTTATAGTTTTCTGTGTATAGATTCTTTGGGTGTTTATTTTTAATCACTAAATAAGGTTGGAAACTATCGCTGTACTAGGAATGTCTGTGATAGCTGTGTTGGTTAAATGAAACCTCAGAACTTCTTCGGCTGTTTAGTTTTTTACTGGAAAATATTTCATTTACAGTCTTAGGCTAGGCACAGTTTATTTTGGATCCAATACCAGAAAGGCCTGGATTGCAGCATACTTGGTTTCTCATGTTTCCGGGATGGCTGTGGGACTCGGGAGGGGAATTTCTGGGCAGCCTGGCTGCATTTCTTGTTAATGAATGGGGAAGCTTGGTATGAATCTAATCTTTAGTGTTAGGATATCAGCTGTGGTTTCTTGGATTACTCTGTACAGCAACTACTAAGCAGCTTTACTTCTGTTTCGACTCAGGGAAGTAAGGGTAGAGGTTAGAGAATGGTATCCATAAAAATAGCATCTTTTGGGTGGGTGCTGTGGAGTCAAAGACCTCTTTATTCCTTGTTGTCTCTCCATGTACAGAAATACAAATATCTGCTGACAGATTTATACCCTTTCTATGAGCTTAAAGTTCCAAGTTTTC